AAAACTCACAGCTAGGCTAGGGCAACGAATCATAGCGGGAGCTCCGTGATTGCTCAATCGTCGACTCACCTTTTTCTGTCTGGCACAAGGAACCCCCTAGCGCTGAAGAAGAAAGACCCCCCACTTTAATTCTGGCAGGGTGGAGTTGGCTTGGGGCAGCCTTTCGAACTCAGAACTCACCGGCAGCGTTGAGTGAAAGAGGGGCGGCAGCCTGCTCCTGTAAGAGGGTTGGGCTCAGAGACTGCCCCAGGCCGTTCTCCCCACCGTCCTGTTCTGGCCGCTGGCCGCTGGGATGGACTAGAAGGCGGCGTATGTGATTTTCTGTTGTTGCTGGTTCCGTGAACTTTCCAACATCGTTATTCCCACTGAGCTCAGGCCAGGGTCAGATTAAAGAATTCATCTTCTGGAGTGTTCCCTGACAGGAAAGGTAGCCTTTGCCCCGGCGAGGGCTGTGTCCACACACGGCAGTAGATGGAGAAAGGAAGGCTCTCAGGGCCCTCCCCAGGGGTCTCTGCAGAAAGAACCCCTGCTCAGCCACAAGCCAGGTCTCCCTCATCTGCCAACTGGGTGCTTATCACTAGCTCCAGCTGCTCACAAGATTCCCGGTGCACTTTTTATGTTTCCTCATCTTTCTTGTCCTCTCTCCCGGGACACTAACCTGGGGGCACCCCCTTCTGGGCTGGTGTGGGACACACAGCCATGCTGGTTGAGAGGGTGCCGTGCCGGGGCTCGGGTGGGGGTCTCCGTGGACGCGATTCGCCCATCCTTCCTGGTGGTTTCAAGCGGATGCCTTGTGACTCCGGTTCGGAGCCATGGTTTGGGACATTGCCAGCAGACCACATGGAACCAGCCAGGGTGCAGCCGGACCTGAGTGGCCCTGGACGGGTGTCGGTCCATTTCAGACAGCGAGCCCCTGCCGGGGGGAGAGGGAGCTCAGGAGAGCTGGAAAAGAGGAAGGCCTTTATCTCCGTGACTCCTTGGCTGGGCTGCTCACCTCAGGGTCAGCAGTTCAAAACCACTGCTCCTCGAGAGAAAGACGAGGCGGTTACTCCCACAAAGAATGGCAGTCCCGGAAATCCACAGGGGCCACTCTGAGTCAGCCTGGGCTCGGCAGCTGGTGATAAAAGGAGCCCTGGTGGCACCGTGGCCGAGCGAGAGCCACTCCGTGGGAGAGGGCTGAGGCTTTCTGTGGCTACCAAGGCTGACAGTCTCGAGAGCCCAAAGGGGCCGCCCTACCCGGCGCTATAAATCAAAATGGACTCGGTGCCAATGAGTTTGAGGTTTGGGGCGATGAGGCTGTTGTAGCTGCCAAGTTGGCCCCCAACTCACACCAACCCCTAGCACCGATGGCCGAGGGGCCACCCAGCCCTGCGCTTCCTCATCTCCGCATGCGGATCTGACTGCTGTAACCTGCAGGGCTTGAAAGTCCACCTCCAGGCCTTCCCTCCATCCTGGGAGCTCTTCTGATCCCTGCTCAGCGTGGGTGCCATGGCCACGCCTCCCGCACAGGTAGCAGAGGCTGTCCACGAGGCGGCTGGCTGGGACTTGAACCCGGGGAGGCTTGAGTGGACGTGTTCTTAATTCCTACATGTGTCAGTTTTCTGAGGCGGCCCCGGTGGAGCAGTGGGTTGTGTGTTGGGCTGCAACTCAGAAGGCAGCAGTTCAAAACCACCCGCTGCTGCGAGGCAGAAGGCTTCCCTCTCCTGCAAAGAGTCACAGTCTCAGGAGCCCACAGGGGAAATTCGACCCTGCCCTGTGCAGTTGCTGTGCGTTCATATTTTCTTATAAATTCATGGAAACGACCCGTTTAGATTCTCGGGTGGTGCCCCGCGGGGCCAGGGTTGTACGATGCTCACAGGGTTACTGCGAAGCCGGTTTTTCCGAGACTACTCTCCGGCTGGACTGCCAAGGGGCTCCTCCTCAGCCCCTCTACCCTCTTCCATTTCTTAGCTCTGAACATCCTGGGAAACGTAGAAGACCGGATAAAGATGCTCTGGTCCATCCACACAGTGGAATACTCTGCATCCCTCAAAAACTGGGGGACCACAAAGCCCCTCATGACACGGATGGACCAGGGGAACATCATGCCAGGTGCAGTTAGCCCATCATAGAAAGACACCTATTGTGGGAGACCACTGCCACCATGGGAAAAATCAAGAGGAAGCCTCGCCGAGCAGAGGGGACAGCCTTTGGAGAACCCCACAGGAGGGAGGGCAAGGGCGGGGAGAGGAGGCAGCAGGGAGGAGGCTGACAGGTGTTGACTTACGAAGGAGAAGAGAAGTCGGGGGGCAGGTGTTGAAATAGAATACGGGGTGCAGAGTGGTCTGACTGTGACCTGCAGAGCTGATGGCCTGAGAGGGACCCACCACTGCCTAACTCACAGTAAAAAAAATTCACTTTTTTTAAAAAAAGGTTATCCTTACATTTTCCTGCAGCCATAGGGGTCCCTGGTAGCACGATGGGTTAAGCATGGTGCTGCTCACCGCTAGGCTGGCTGTTTGAACCCACCAGCCCCTCCCAGAGGGAGAGATGAGACTGGCTGTACCCATGAAGGCCAACGGCCTCAGTGTCCTGAGAGAGCAGTCATGTTCTGCCCAAGAGGGTCCTTAAGATCTGGGGTCGGCGAGGTGGCTGTGGGCTGGGTTTGGTAGCCTGTGCGGCCTGAGGTAGCTGCAGCAGAAGCCCAAAAGGTGGTGAGAATGACCCAGATGTGGGCCCAGAGGCACGAAGGGAGCCCACGCTGTTGGCAAAATAGCACTGGTTGACTTGCTGGGCACAGGGTGGCCCGCCCCCCCTCCCCCACCAGCCGCCCATAAACCCACAGTCCCTGCCAAGTGCCATGAAGTGCAGCGCAGTAAAGGGGCAGGTGAGCGCTGTTAACCTGACCCTCTCCTGGGGCATCCACACCTCCTTTCTCTCACTCCCTCCTGTCTCTGGGGCCCTCGATGTCTGACTGTCCCTGCACGGTGTCCCTATAAGATTCTCTCTACCTCCATCTGGTTTCTTCACCTTAAAAGCAAAGACCAACCAACAGTGGCTGTCCAGGCGACTGACCATTTCTTAATAATGGCCTCCTGTACGCAACATGCACACGAAAAAGGAAGTCATGACATGGTCTCCTCCCCCAGGGGCCTCCCTCACTTGTCTCTGCCCCCCCAGTGCCTGCCGTTCGTGGCCCAGGTCCTTAAACCTAGTAACTCAATTGCTGTCATTGAGTCAGCTTGGACTCCTAGTGAGCCTCCAGGACAAGGTGGAACTGCCCCGTGCGCCTCCCAAACTGTCACTCTTCATGGGAGTGAGAAGCCAAGTCTCTCGCTCGGAGCAGTTGGTGGGTTTGAACTGCTGACCCTGTGGTTAGCACCTCAATGTGTAACCACTACACCACCAAGGGTCCCTTAAACCTAGCAGGCATTTGTAAGTGCCTGTGGGCTGGGCTGTTCCTTCTCAGATCTCACAGGGCCACTTGGTTGGTGACTTGTGTTCCTGTCTGGCCACTCACTCTTCACCCCAACGACACCACCCGGTGATCCGCTTTCTCTCCATCCCTTTGGGTTTTACCTTGGGATACCCCCCTCCCCACCCTCCCCACCCTCTGAGCGCTGCCCTGTCTTATCCCTCCGGAGATCCGCAGACAGAATGCAGAAGACGGGTCGGGAGACATGAAGAAGAAATGCATGTGACCTCGATGATGGTTTTGTGTCATTTCCACTCACCCAGGCTCATAAAGGGCCGCTGGCCAAAATCTTGACAGGCTCGGGGCTCTGACAAACCAGACCAGGGGGTGCAGACGGCTAAGCGCCTGACTACTCACCCAAAGCGTAAAGGCCCAGGCCTGGCGGTCTCCTTTGGGAAAGGTCGGCCATTGCAAACCCTGGAGCACAGCCCTGCCCTGATGTACACAGGGGTGCCGTGAGATGGCAGCCGTTTCTCCCCACCCTCTAGCCTGCAGTCAGCAAAAGGAGCCCTGGTGGCACAGTGCTTCAGCGCTCAGTCACAAACCTCCAGGCCACCAGCCACTCTGTGGGAGAAAGATGTGGCTGCCCATCTCAGAAGGGTTTCTTCTTTGGGAACCCTATGGGTATTCCCCTGTGTTTCTGGGGTCAGAATGGACATGCTGGCAAGGGGGCTCGTAAAGCCCCCAGTACACGCAGGGACAAGTACACGCGGTCGTGAGGATGGTGACAGGTCAGCATCCTGAGGGAATGGATCCCTGGGTTTGCTCTCAAGCCTCTGCAAAAGGCCACAGACACCAGGTCCAAGGTCGCAGCAGCGTGTGTGTTTTCCGATGGGCATTGCTGCCTCAGGAAGGGCACGCGGGTGTGCCTCCTTGTGTGGTCTCTGAGCTGGGCGCAGGGAGAAGTGCGCCGGGTCCTGAAAGCGATCCGCTCTCAGGAATTCTCGCCTCGATTCTCGTGCCCTGGAAGGTTCTGAATAATTAAATGCCAGGGTGTTTGAGCCGAATTAAGATTGATTGGCACGTCTGTGTGCACGGCTGCTGTCACAAAGGGAACTCCTTCTTGTCACAAAAGGAACACAGTCTGAGAGAGGGGCAACCAGGGACACCCCCGGGGCTTCTGGCCATCCGTGGGGGTGGTGCAGCACTGCATGGAAGGCCCTGGGTCCCATGTAGTCAGAGTACATCCGGACCAAACAGGGCTTGATCTTGTCTTTCCACCATGTCCCTCCCTCGAGGATGCTGCCTCATTGATCCCGCCGGTGGCGCCGTTAGTCACAGTGGCTGCTTTTCTCCAGAGGCCCGTTCCAGGAGCGCGCCCTAGTCAGCTGTCTGGCCGCTCCTCCCAAGGAGCCACCGGGAATGGTAGTTGGGCCCCGGGTCCCGTTAAACGTCACACGAGGGAGCAGGTTTGGAAAAGGCCGGCTGGGGGTGGAAGTGTGTTCTTTTTTTATTATTTTTTTCCTCTAATGAAGATTTTATAGAGTGTTGGGTGAGCTCTGACAAAACCAGCCTGTAAATTCTTGAAATTGTTCAGAAAGGCAGCATGTTCCAGCCTCCCGGGGGCTGTGCCTCCGTGTCCCCGCAGCAGAGCCACGTGGAGAGTGCGGGCACCCGGCGGGAGAGCCGCTGTGAGGGCGTGTGTGCCCCAGGGGGTGTTCCAGTGAGGCAGCGTGGGAAGGGTGGTGGTTGTGTGTGTGAGTGTGTGCTGTGTGCTGTGTGAATGCATGTGGTGTGAAGGGAATGGGATGTCTGTGGTATGTGTGCACATGTGTGGTGTGTGTACATGCATGTGGTCTGTGTGGGTGTATGTGTGATGTGTGGTATGTATATATGTGATGTGTCTGTTTTTTATGTGTGGTGTGTACGCGTAGGGTATGTGTGGTGTAATTGCATGTAGTGTGTATATATGAGATGCATATGTGTAGTGTGTGTACCTGTTGTGTGTTTATGTGTGTGGGGTGCAGCTGCTGGGCACACATGCTTTTAGCTCTGCCCTCAAGACCTGGGGCCATGCTACCCGCCATGCGTGGCTGCCATGTGCCCCGTGACCTGCACCATCAGGAAAAGATCGATGGCCGTTCGTTCTGTCCAGTCAACTGAGCTGGGAGGCTCTCTGGGGTGTTGCGGAAGCAATTCCATTAGAAAACGGTTAGATTTAAGGAACCCTTTCCTTTCATGACGCCGGGAAGGACTTGCAAGAGTTACTTTGCAAGCGTTCTGATGGAGTGAGTGAGTCTGTGGGTGCTGGGTCCCCGTGTACAGAGGGCAGTCCCGCCAGTGGTGACCCCAGGCTGCACAGGTGGTGGAGCAGGGTCTGTTCACGAGATGACGCCGCTGGCGGGAGCAGTGAGCGCAGAACTGGCCAGCAGATGGTCAGGACGCATGTGGGCTCCTGTGGAGAGCTCTAAAAGGGAGCCCGTTCCAGAGGCAGGATCCATGTAACCAGGGTGACACCTGGGCAGGGTCATGTCTGTCGGCCTGGCTGTCGTGGGAGGCATGAGCTGAGTAGAGGGGGCTGGAGTTGGGGCGGCTGACCTTGGGGGCACCCAGGAGTCCTTTCCCCCTCTCGTCTGCACCCTGTGGCAGGGGCTCTGGTCTGGAGAGTTTGTGGGTGACAGCGCTACCACGGTAGCTGGCATTTGAAAGGATCTTGCCTTATACATGAATGAATGAAGGATCGCATCCCTGTGGGCTTGCGTGCACCTCACTAGGGGCCCAGCTTCACCCAGATAGTCATGGGGAAGGTCGGGGCACACTGCTTTTGTCAGGAGACCCTGGAACACCCAGGGCAGGGGGTTCCCCAGCTGCCCGATGAGAGGGGCCTCCTACAAGGTGCTTGGAGCCCCTTTACTTCTTCTCAGATCAGCAAAGGCATCACTAAGTGCCCCACCCCCTCCATCCAGGAACACCCCTGCTCCCAGGACACTGAGAGAATTACTGAGCCTCTGGGGATCCCCCCCAGGACAGAGAGGGCATTACTGAACCCCCCTTCTGGGAACATTGTGCCCTGTCCCACCCCCAGTTGCCACCCACCCACCACAGAGAGGGCAGTACTGTGCGCCTGGGTATGCCGCCCCAGGACACCAAGGCTGCCCACAGAGCTCTCCATGCAGTGTTTAAGGCGCCCCCATCAGAAGCAGTTCCTCACGTTTTTCTGAGCAATCTGCAGCTTGTCCCTGGGAGCCCTCACGAAGGACAACATGACCGATGACCGTAGAGAGCCAGCCCTCCCGCAGGGCTTCCTGCAGGACCGCCACCCTCGCACCTGTTCCTGCCCCGGCCACCCTGCCGGGACACAGCAGAGCTGCTCCCCAGGGCGTCCGAGAGGGGCAACTTAGGGAGCAGGCAGCTTCGTCGGTCTCCTGCAGACCGGCTGGTGGGTTTGAACGGTCCACCTTGCTGTTAACAGCCCGACGCCCTGGTGGTATAGCAGGTTAAGCTTTGGGCTGTCAACTTCAAGGTCAACATTTTGGAATCATCTTTTTTTTGAGAAAGAGAGAGAGAGAAAAACGTGGTGTTCTACTCACGTTCTACTCACAGTCTGGGAGCCCCACAGGGGCAGTTCTGCCTTGTCCTCTGAGGTCACTGTGAGTCGGCATGGATCGATGGAACTGCGTGAGACGGAGCTTTAAAAAAGCAAACGTGCATTTCCCAAGTGCAATTCCAGTTGTTCTCCTTGAAGCAATCAGCAAGTGAGGTGCTGGAACCAGCCAGGTATGTGTGCTGCTGTCCTGGGCTTACTGGCAAGCAAGGTGCTTGAGCACCTGACAAAAGTAGGGCTCAGTGGGGACCCCCACCTTCCCTGGACCACGGGGTGCCTCTCGCCCATTTCCCGATACCCCTCTGTCCACCTATCGGCCCTGGGGGCTGCCATCAGGAGGGTAACCTGGAAGGGGGGGACCTGAAGGGAATGTCCCCAGGGCAGGTTCAATCCCAGTCCCTGGGGTCTTGGCCCTAGAGCTGGGCGGGTTGTGGGCCCATGGGCCCTGTCCAGTGGGCTGAGCTGATCAGACTTGATGAAGGTTCCTCTTGCTGCAAACGCTTGGGCATCAAAGGCCATATACAGTGGTTTCCTGTCCATGTCAACTGAAACCTGCATGCCTGCGCCCCTCTCCTGACCTCAGTCCCCTGGCCACAGCCCATGGCCGCTTTGTGCAGTCCTCGAGCCCCAGATGGAAGCTCAGTGTGTCCTGCCCACAAGGATGTTCCATGGAGTCCTGGACCTGTTTTCTCCTTTTAGTAGTCCCAGACTGACACATCCATGCCTCTCCCACTGCCCATCCTACCAGGCCAGGGCCCCATCTTCCTGTTCCTCCTCCTGACTGGGTGGCCTGTGCCCGGCTCACTGTGGGCGTAGCCTGTGCCCGTCTTTCCGTGGGCATGGTCTCTGCTCAGCTCTCTGTGGGCATGGCCTGCTCCCAGCTGTGGGCGTGAGAGTCTTCTAAGGTCCCTGCATGGGGCTCTTGGAAGCGGTGCAGAGGGAATGAGTGTTCTGGAGAAATGGTTCCGAACTTCCCCAGTGTCACCCAGGGGCTGGGACATCTCCGGAGTCTGATTCAGTGGATGTGAAGTGGAGCCCCGCCCCCAAGGAAAGGCGCCCTGGGGATGCCACGGGATAAGTGTGGGCGGCCAAGCCCTCGGCAGGAGAAGGACGAGGCTGCCTGCTCTCGTAAGGATGGACAGCCTCCAGCAGGCCGCTGGGGCAGCTCTGCTCTGTCCTGCAGGGTCGCCGTGGGTTTGGTTGCTTGCTTCTCCAGGAATGCATCCCAAAAAGATTTCAAATCCGGGAAGTGGCTTTGGCCAGGGCGGCCCAGGCCCTTCGCAGCTCTGACTCCTGGGAGCTAAGGAACGGGGCGGTTCTTGCCCTAAAGCCAGGAAAGGCTTGGCCTTCTTGTACTCCGGAGTCTGGGGTCATAGAGCATCACTGGTGACCATCTGAGAGCTGTGCGGTTTCCCTCCGCTCACAAGGCTGAGAAATAGGAAATGCTTGCCCAGATGGACCAGGACTGGAACTCGTCAGTACCCCAACTGACCTTGGGCTGCCCTGCCTGGCCCTCCAGTGAGGTCCAGTGTCAAAGACCCTCTTCCCAGGGGACAAGATGAACACCTTGCAAAGGAGGGAGCAGACGGGGCTGGAAATGCTGCGTGGACCCCAAGGCTGAGCCTGCCTGCTGCCTGCCGCCCCCTCCTCCTTGGGCAGGTTGAATGTCCGTGTCCATGGCTGCCCCGGGTGACAGGTAGCCAGACGGAGAAGCCCCTTGAACAGGAATCCAAGTACAAGATCTGAAATAGCTCTTACTGAGATACATCACCGAACTCTAGGAAAGCGCAAACGGACCTCCTCTCTGGGAGACCTTGTCTCATCACTCGGTCTGTGTCGTCAGGAGAGACATCCGTGATGCTCGGTCATGCAGAGGGGCAGCGAACAGGAAAGCCCTCGATGAGGTGGATGGACACAGGGCCGCATCCCTGGGCCTGACCATAGGAACAGTCATGAGGATGCTGTGGACCGGTGGCGTTTCCTCCTGTCGTGCCCAGCGCCTCTCTGAGTCGGGATCGGCCCCATGGCCCCTAACGACAACACCACAGAAAACGTGGACTAGAAACTGCAGCCAAGATGGATCGGGCACTGGCTGCTGCCAGCTCTGTGCTGCCCGGGTTGGTGGTGGCTAGGTGCCATAGGATTGGCCCCGACTCCGGGGACCCCGTCCGTGTGCCGTAGAACCAGACACTGCCCGGTCCCCCTGCCCTGTGTTCATGATCGCCAGTGCACCCAAGCCCATTATGGTGCCCGCTGTGGGTTTCCAGGGCCTTCCTTGGGTGGTGCAAACCTCACTGGGAGGTTTGAGCCCACCCAGGGATACCCCAGAAGAAAGGCCTGGGGGTCTATTTCAGAAGCAGGAATGACTGCAAACTTGTGGGCCCTCGATGGCAGGCTCCATGAGTCAAAACTGGCTCAACATCAGCTGGGCCGGTCTAGGGGACTCCTGTTCGGGCGCCAGGTTCGGTGGTGATCTGCCTGGCTCTCCGCGGCAAAGCTATCCTTTTGGCACCACCTTAGTGCTAGTGTTTGAAATGCTGGTGGCTTAGCTGCCAGCAGCCTTGGGGTGGTGACATCTCAGTGTAAGCCACCAAGTAGGGGCCACCTAAGGTTACCCAGGTGCCCGCTGGGGGCTGTCGTAGTGCAGTGGGCTGGGCCTCGCTGTCATGGTGGTGGACGGAGGTGTGGGGCAGCGCAGAGGTCGCGGAGTGGGCTGGAAGCAGGGCAGCCTGCCACTCCGACGTGTCCCTAACCACCAGGCCACAGGCATCCACAGGGAGCCCTCTGTCCCAAACGTCGCCAACGGCTGTTGTCTCCACCAAAATGCGAGGAAATGTTTTAAGCTGTGAGGGACAGCCTGCTATAGTGGTTTCCTTGAGCGAGAAGTCGGTGGGCTAAGGACAGACAGTTCTGAGAGAAGAGGCTGAAGCAGGGGTGTGTCCCACCAGGGGATCAAGCAAGCCATACACACCCACCCCATCCAGTCCATTCCGACCCCATAGGACGGGTGGAGCTGCCCTGTGGGTTTCCGAGGCTCTTACACCCTACGGAAGCAGAAAGCCTCATCTTTCTCCTGTGGAGTAGCCGGTGGCTTCAAACTGCTGACCTTGGGGCTAGCG